AGAAAGTGAACTAAATTAGGGTACAAAAAGAAGGATGTAACTGTGTCCTAAGGACATCCAAGGCCTGACAGGAACTGCACAAGTGCAGATCAAGAATTAGGCATTTTATTTCTCACTATGGGATGGATCATCAGCTCTGTTCCAGGGTCACAATAACAGGTTGTAGGAGGTTTCACAAGTTGATAAGCATGATGCGAGGGCAGGCCAATTTCTAAATACATATACCTCTCCTGGACCTCCTTGCCCTTAATTTTCTCACATGCCTTTTAAACTCCACCTTGAATTTGTTAGTTTTTTTTAAAGTTGTAGGAGACCCTGAGGACTAAAAGGGAAGTGTACACTTATTGGCCATTTGTACTTATTTGAAAAGTGTCCATTTATTTGCCCATTTATTGGTTGGGATATTTTTGGTGTTAAGCTTTTTTAGTTCTTTATGTATTCTAGAGACTGATTCTCTGTCAGAAGAGTAGCTGGCAAAGATTTGCTCCCATTCTGTAATGGGATTGCTCTTCATTCTGCTCTTCATTCTGTTGATTGCTTCCTTTACTCTTCATTCTGTTGATTAGTCTTCATTCTGTTGATTGCTTCCTTTACTGTGCATTTATTGATTTTTGTTATTATTTCCTGTGCTGTTGGAGTTCTATTCAGAAAGTTTTACTTGGGCCTATTACTTCAGGTATTCCCTTTATGTTTTCTTCTAGCAGTATCAAAGTTTCAGGTCTTATAACTAGGTCTTTGATCAATTTTAAGTCAGTATGGATATTCCTAAAAAAAAGAGAGAGAAACCATTTGATTCAGCTTCGATATATTCCCATAAGAACTAAAGACAGACTTTCGACCAGGAGACCAAGCCGCTGCGGACCCCAGAGCTTGCCCATCAGCCTCCAGCTTGGCCGTGTGTGCAGGCAGAGCAGGCGCGAGCTGAGGGCTCCCTGCTCAGTCCAGCTCGCTCCGCCCACTTTTGACCAGGAGACTGAACCAGTGAGGACCCCTGGGATTGCCCATCAGCCTCCAGCTTGGCCAGTGCGGGCGCCTGCAACAACAGCGCCCCACCCCCACCTCTTGGCCATACAGCTACTTGAATCCACACTACAGACACACAGGGGAGCATAAAGGCCATTGTCCTGAG